GTATTATATTGTTTGAGCAGATCATGCTTATTGGTTGGCAAGTGGAGTCAGTTGCATTCCCCATGGCAATGTCTCCACTACAGTATGTTTGCCAACCAATCAGCATGCTTTGCTCAGTCAAAAAACGCTGTTCCCCTTCCCATTTATTTTCTTGCAAAGTGTCCTTATGACTGAAAAACTTCAACAAAATGTGTCTTTTTCAGCAATACTCAAGTTTTGTATTTATAGAGTCATACAGCATGGAAACAGACCTTTCGGTCCAACTCGTCCGTGCCGACCAGACATCCCAATCTGACCTAGTTCCATTTGGCCCATATCCCACTAAAACCTTCCTATTCAAGTACCCATCCAGATGCCTTTTAAATGTTGTAATCGTACCTGCCTCCATCACTTCCCCAGCAGCTCGTTCCATACATGCACCACACTGTGTGAAAAAAGTTACCCCTCAGCTCCTTTTTAAATCTTTCCCCTTGCTCCTTAAACTTGTGCCCTCTAATTTTGGACTTCCCCACCCTAGGAAAAAGACCTAGGCTATTCACCCTATGCATGCCCCTCATGATTTTATAAAGCTCTACAAGGTCACCCATAAGCGTCTGATGCTCCAGAAAAGTAAAGTCCCCAGCCTATTCAGCCTCTCCCTATAGCTCAAACCTTCCAGTCCCGGCAACATCCTCATAAATCATTTCTTCACCCTCTCAAGTTTAACAACATCCTTCCTACAGAAGGACGACCAGAACTGTATGCAGTATTCTGAAAGTGGTCTCACCAATGTCCTGCATAGCTGCAACATGATGTCCCAACTCCCATACTCAATGTTCTGACCAATGAAGGCAAGCGTGCCAAATGCCTTCTTCACCACCTTATCTACCTGTGACTCCACTTTCAAGGAACTACGCACCTGCACACCTAGGTCGCTTTGTTTGGCAACACAGCCCACGGCCCTACCTGTTAACCGTACATGTCTTGCCCTGGTTTGCCTTACCAATATCCAATACTTCACACTTATCTGAATTAAACTCAATTTGCAATTCCTTGGCCCATTGGTCCATCTGATCAAGGTCCCTTTGCACTCTGAGACAAGCTTCTTCACTGTCCACTACACCACCAATTTTGGTGTCATCTGCAAACTTACTAACCATTCCTCCTGTATTCACATCCAAATCATTTCTATAAATGATTAAAAGCAAGGGGACTCAGCACCTATCCTTGTGATGCACCACTGGTCAAAGGCTTCCTTGACTACCCTGTCTCCTAACTTCAAGCCAATTTTGTATCCAATTGGATAGCTCCCCTTGGATCCCATGTGATCTAACCAATTGTGAACCAAAATGAAAGACTGATAAAGGACCTACAAGTTTGTCCAGTTTGCTATACTTAATTGTAATATCTTATTCATCAAGACACAGATACACCTCACCCACCATGAGCTACGCAATCCCCACACCAAGTCAGGAAAGTCAGTTAAAAACCCAGGTGAGAAAGTAGGAAGAAAGCTGGTCTGTTAATTTATGACTGCTTCAAGCAATTAGAGCTATCCCAGATGCTCATATTGACCCAGATTTGTATTGGAAGGTACTTACCTCTTACACTATCAGACATACACCCAGCCAGAAACAGGGTCCACCTCTCTCATTGGCTTCAATTCTGTTCCCTGTCTTATTGTGAGATATAGTGCATAACATTTGACTTTTCTAAGTTAAATACAATTTTCCAAACACAGGAGCATTCTCCCAACCCACTTGCAGCTAGCCTTAAATCATCTGGAAACTTGCAGATTGGTCGTTTCCACCACCACCAATATTTAGATTAGCAAATTGGACAAACACAGCTGGTAACCAGTCGCCAAGTTCACTGATAACTGTCCAAATCCAAGCAACTTGCAAACTGCTGCAGCACATTGTCACTATTGCCACAGGACTCTATTGTGTGGTGCAACATTTTGCAAGGTGCCTCATCAAAAACTTTTATGGAAGTCCAGGTGAGGCTCTTACCTGAGGGAAATCGCCTGTGTTTCTGAAGGGAAGAAGAATCCACAAATGTTTTCTTGCAATCCTCACATGTGTATGGCTTCTCTCCAGTGTGGCGGCGGAGATGTACTTTTAGGTGCGTACTACGGTGAAATGTTTTGACACAGAAAGTACATGCATAAGGGCGTTCACCTGTGTGAGTTCGATGATGGTCATTTAAGTTAGACTTTTCTGCAAAACCTCGACCACATTCATCACACACATATGGCTTCTCTCCAGTGTGTGTGCGTCTGTGCATTGTTAACTGTGCTTTGCGCAAAAATCGCCTCCCACAGTATTCACATTTAAAGCAATTCCTTCCAGCAGAAATAATGTCATTGCTTAATGATGCAACCTCCTTTAATGTCTTACCAACACTCAAAGGTCTCAAACAGGAGTTGGCTTTGTTATCAGTTTTGTAGTTTATGTAATTCACTGGAGAGTGGGAAGCACTAGTTTTTTTCTCATCAAGCGGCCAGTCATTCATCAGTGACAAAGTACGACCCAAAAAAGCATCTGCTGCACAGCTGCCGTTGTAGTTGGGATGTACTGTGAAATCCTCAGAGTGATGACAGCCTGTATCCCCAAAGTACGCTGCTTCAGTAGGCTCCACTTCAGGAAGCATGTAGATCGACCCTATAATAATTTAAAAGACACAAGGTTCTGATGCAGTTTGAAAGTAGATAAGACATCACACAATGCAAATGCAAATGCAAAGCAAGATGACAGTCACCTCAGTGCAGTGATGACCCTTGTACCACACATAAGGGTCATATAGTTTCACTGAAAGGTAGTTTAAAGGCTGGTTCAAGACAAACTCCAGAACTGTGCACAGGCTGGAGAGCGTCAGCCCAGCCAAATCGACAGTCTAGTTTAAATTTTAAGGCTAATTTGAAGATTTCAGTTTTGTCACAGTATTCCTTTAAGGGGCTGCTATTTATTTATTTATTTGTTTGAAAAAGAGTAAAATCCAAGTTCAAACATTAGTTCAACTGCACGGGAACGCTGCATGGTCACAGCTGCCAATGGAGTATCAAGCCAAAGTCGTGCTTGTCTGGAAGAATGGATAAGACCCTGTTGTACCATTCAGGAAGAAAACCAGGGAGGTCTCAAAGTGACTTGGCCAAAATCTATTCCTCAACCAATGTCACTGAATCGTGACTGAGCCCATTGCTTCCCAAATATTTTCCCATTGTCACCCCAGTTTAATGCTTGAAAGTTGTCGAGAACCCGGACATGAGAGCATGGCCAGGTGGAGATGTTCAATCTCCAGTAAAAAGCACCAAGCTTCCTGTTGGGTTTTTTAGGACACAATTCAGGCCTATGAGAATCCCACTCCCACTCTTTACAAAGCTGCATAGCTTAAAGCAGCCTTGCAGCTGCTAGAACTTGCTCCAGTGCAACCTTTGCTGTAATGAGAGCTTGCAACCCCAGAATTTTGCATGTTGACCCTGATGAGAGGTTGTGACCCAGAGTCTGGAAAGCCCTGATTGTGTGACTCTGAAAGATCTGATGGCAGGTAGATAAGCTGCCACGTTAGCACAATGTGACAAGAGTGACTTCAAAAGCAGTTCTACAAAAAAGACCCTGAACTACCCATTGCCTGCCACTTTAACGCACCACCCTGTTCCCTGACCAACATCCCTGTCTCTGGCTTGCTGCAGTGTTCCAGTGAAGCACAACGCAAGCTGGAGGAACACCACCTCATTTTCCACTTGGGAACCCTGCAGCCCTCCGGACTCAAAATCGAGTTCAATAATTTTAGGGTCTAAATTCTCCCATGTCCCAGCCCCCTACCCCATACACCAGGCCTTGTTATCACATAGCCTGCCATTACACACCCGCTGTTGTTAGTCACTAATAGCCCCCATTAACAACTATTCGCCCTCCCAGCCTGATGTTATCAACTCTGCCTGACCAACTGCTCTTTTCTCTTTAGGCTCTATCCTACCGTTTACTCCCGACCCCATCCCCCTCCCTTTTTTCTGCATGTAAACTGACGTTTTCCCAGCCACAATCCTGAGGAAGGGTCATCAGACCCGAAACATTAACTCTGTTTTGTCCTTCACAGATGCTGCCAGACCTGCTGAGCTTTTCCAGCAACTTTGTTTTTGTTCAAAAGCAGTTCATTGGCTGTGAAGTATTTAGGAACATCCCAAGGACTGGAAATCAGTGATCTAACTGCTAATCTTCCTTCACATATTCAGTAAAGTAGATAACTGATCAAAGAAGGAATCTAGAATGATCAAATCATTCTTACTCACACTTTAACTTTGTGCTTAGTGAAGAATCTCATTTTAAATCTTATGCCTTCAACAAGGTCACCCCCAACCCTGTAGGTACCTTCAAATGTATTTGTAATCATAACTTTGTTGTTTAAATATAACTGTCCTTGAAAGCATTACAGAAATTTTTTTTATTAAACACAGGAATATGTAGCTTGACAAAATGTACAGCGATCCTGCCACACTGTCTGTTAATTCAATGTTACTACAAGCTGGCAAACTTGCACAAGTGCTGAACAGTCCAGAAAGACGAATCTTGGGTGTCTGTGAAGCAAGGTGTAATCAAAGAAATTAGCCTGAGATAGAAGGAAGTATCAATTGGAAGGCCACTCTGCTCACTTCGACCTTCTCAAGGGGCCATTAGGGAATGGGCAATAAATGCTTGGCCTGCTGGCGATACCCGCATCCTGGAAATGAATTACAAAAAGATGCTGGGGTATGAAGTGCTGTGGTCTGGTGTTTACAGCTGACACAAGGTAAAACAAGGAACAGAATTGTCCCCAAAGTGTGACACACTCAATCATCTAGAGATCAAATTAAAGGATCTGCTTTGAAATTAAACTACCACATATGACTGTATATGAATACCTATTTGTAGAATAGTGCAATATCTTAATTGTGATCAATCTCCACCAGCAGTTCTATGATTTTAATTTAATCATGGAAAGTATTCAGCCTGGAGCTCGGTGACTAGTGGTGCTCTGCAGGGATCTGTTCTGGGGCCTCTGCTCTTTGTGATCTTTATAAATGACTTGGATGAGGTACTGGAAGGGTGGATTAATAAGTTTGCTGATGACACGAAGGTTGGCGGAGTTGTGGATAGCGTGGAGGGCTGCTGTCGGTTGCAATGGGACATTAACAGGATGCAGAGCTGGGCAAAGTGGCAGATGGAATTCAACCCAGAAAAGTGTGAAGTGATTCATTTTGGAAGGTCAAATTTGAATGCAGAATACAGGGTTAATGGCAGGATTCTCTGCAGTGTGGAGGAACAGAGGGATCTTGGGGTCCATGTCCATAGATCCCTCAAAGTTGCTACCCCAAGTTGATAGGGTTGTAAAGAAGGCATATGGTGTGTTGGCTTTCATTGTCAGAGGAATTGAGTTTAAGAGCCGTGAGGTTATGCTGCAACTCTATAAAACTCTGGTTAGACCACACTTGGAATATTGTGTTCAGTTCTGGTCACCTCATTATAGGAAGGATGTGGAAGCTTTAGAGAGGGTACAGAGGAGATTTACCAGGATGCTGCCTGGACTGGAGGGCGGGTCGTATGAGGAAAGGTTGAGGGAGCTGGGGCTTTTTTCATTGGAGCGAAGAAGGATGAGAGGTGACTTGGTCAATGTTTACAAGATGATGAGAGGCATAGACAGAGTGGATAGTCAGAGACCTTTTTCCCAGGGTGGAAATGACTATTACGAGGGGGCATAATTTTAAGGTGATTGGAGAAAGGTATAGGGGAGATGTCAGAGGGAGGTTCTTTACACAGAGAGTGGTGGGCGTGTGGAATGCGCTGCCGGCAGCGGTAGTGGAGTCAGATACTTTAGAGACTTTTAAGCAACTCTTGGATAGGCACGTGGAGGATAGTAAAATGTAGGGTATGCAGGGTAGTTTGATCTTAGTAGGATAATAGGTCGGCACAACATCAAGGGCTGAAGGGCCTGTACTGTGCTGCAGTGTTCAATGTTCTATGTTCACACGATGAGGAATATATTTTAAAAATGGTTCAAAATTTTGGAAGTCAGAAGTGCTCCCCTCAACTCTACTTTCATCTGAACATTATTCATGTCTCTATTTGAGCTGTCCTGATGCCATGAGAAATGCTATAAAAACACAAGCTCTTCATTTCTTTTGATGTACTTGGCATTGCAAGCATCACTTTCCTTGGGATGGTGGCACAGTAGTAACATCATTGGTTTTGGAGATGAGATCCAACTGATATTCTAGGGACTCAAGTTCAAATCCCACTGCAGAATCTGGTGGAACTTAAACTCAATTAATAAATAAATCTGTAATCAAAAGCTGGTGACTATGAAACTACATCGAAGTTACGTCACTCAGCTAGCTTTAAATCAGTGCAGGGATCTAGTACAGACACATAAGAGAGTTGATAGAATTGAACATCTACTACACCAGTTGTTGTAAAAATTCTTTGGTTCACTAGTGTCCTTTCAGGAAGGAAACGTGTCTGCATGGGTTTCCTCCAGGTGCTCCGGTTTCCTCCCACAGTCCAAAGATGTGCAGGCTAGGTGGATTGGCCATGCTAAATTGCCCGCAGTGTTCAGGGATGTGTAGATTAGGTGGGTAATGGGGGGATGGGTTTGCGTGCGTGCTCTGAGGGTCGGTGTGGACTTGTTGGGCCAAAGGGCCTGTTTCCACACTGTAGGGATTCTATTCTATTCTAAATCTGCCATCCTTACCTGGTCTGGCCTACATGTGACTCCAGACCCACAGCAATGTGGTTGACTCTATCTGCCCTCGGAAATGGTTTAGCAAGCAACTCATGTGTCAAACTGCTTCTGAAAAATCAAGTGAAACATTTTTGCCCTTGCCAGTGCTTTGTGTCCTTCCCAATTTCAAAGATTCACCCCCAACATTATATGCAAAGACTTTGGTAACATTACTAGGAACCTCCTATAACTAATATTCATAGGTTTGTTTGAAAATTACGGTGTTACCTCTGTAAAGTCTTTTGTTTTCCATGTTATTGCCTTGGATAAATTGCAAATCTCCAGTGGCATTTGCATTATAATTTTGACTGAGTTCATTCATTGGCATAATTAGGTGTGTTGTTGCTGATTCCATCTGGTCAGCTTTCCAGCAGGCTAATAAAATGATAAAAGCAAGTTATGCATTAGAAGCAACAAGCAGGGTATAAGCAGATGACTCTCACAAAGTTAATTGAGTTTAACAGGAATTGAACTTATCAGTATGGTTTCATGCACAGTATGGTTTGATATGGACCTAGCACAGGCAGATGAGACTAGTTTAGTTTGGGAACATGGTTGGCATGGACTGGTCAAACCAAAGGGTTTGTTGCCATGCTGTATGACTCAATGACACAGTATCATTAAAAAAAAACTTTAAAAGCCTAAATAACCTTGTACCCTGGAATGAGAAATAATAACTTTTAATCAGAGCAGCAATCAAAATATATACACTTTATTACAACAGGGACTGTGCTTCAAATCTACACTGTTGGTTGTGTTGCACCCTAAGGCCTGGAGTACTGTGTGCAGTTTTGGTTTCCTTACCTAAGAAAATATATACTACTTTAGAGTGCAGTGAATATTCCCGATTCTTGCGATGGCAAGAGAGTGGTTGACTTGGCCTGTATACACTCAACTTCAGAACAACACGAGGGGTCACAATCCCAACAGGGCTAGGTGGACTGGAATGCAGGGATGATATTCTTCCCAAGTCTAGGTCATGGTCTAAGGACACAGGGTAGGCCATTTTGAACTCTTGAGAGGCATGACAATCAGCCTGTTGACACCCTACTCACACTATTTGTATTTATCTGTTGACATTCTTAATTACCTGGAATTATCTTGCTATTATCCTTCCATCTATAAATGCCGCGCCTGTATGCTTCTTTCCACTTCACCCGACGAAGGAGCAGTTCCATGAAAGCTCGCAATTTTAAATAAACTTGTTAGACTATAACCTGGTGTTGTGTGACTTCCAATTTTGTCTGCCCGAGTCCAACACCGGCATCTCCACATTTTGGACTGAGATAAGCAGACGTTTCTTCACTCAGATGGTGGTGGACCTGTGGAATTGTCTACCACAGAAGGCTGTGGAGGCCAAGTCATTAAGCATACTTAAAAGAGAAACCTATTTCTCGAAGCCAAAGGTGTCAGGGGATATGGAAAGAAAGAGTGGGGATATGGTGTTGAGTTAAAAGATCAGTCACAATTATGTTGAATAGTACAACAAATGTAAATGGGCCAAATGGCCTACTTCTGCTCCTATTTTCTACGCCCCTACCAAAAAGGATACATAAATGCAAATATTTTTACAATGATGTCAGCTCATGGCCTATAGATACAGAGTGTGAGAGCTCAACACAACCAGCCACTGGGTGAAACAAAGACAGAAGTTGCTGGAAAAACTCAGCGGGTCTGGCAGCATCTGTGAAGAAAAAAATCAGAGTTAACATTTCGGGACCAGACACCAGACACGAAACGTTAACTCAGTTTTTTTTCTTCACAGATACTTCCAGACCTGCTGAGCTTTTCAAGCAACTTCTGTCTTTGTTCCTGATTTACAGCATCCGCAGTTCCTTCAGTTTTTATTTAGCCACTGGGTGAAACGGTTAGTATTCTGAATGCTTGGGAGCAACATGTCAAGGATCAGAATTCCAATCAATGTCTTGTACTGTCAAGAGAAGTGACATGATTCTGTGCATATGTTTTCCCACGACAGTTAGCATCTGATTTAAATAATCATGAGCAGTTGTAAAGTGGAAGCTGGAGAGCAGAAGAGGAAAACAGTCCTACAAAACTGAAGATAACAAGGTGTAGAGCTGGACGAACACAGCAGGCCAAGCAGCATCATAGGAGCAGGAAAGCTGACATTTCAGGCCGAGACCCTTCTTCAGAAATGTACCCAACTGCAAAACTGAAGACTCTGTTCTTTCTCGTTTCAATTTTTGATTCTTCCACCTACTAGGGATGATAGCCTATGGTGAGTAACTGGTCAAGCAGCTAGGACCAAACTGTAGGCACTGGCCAGTGTCTTCTCATATTCCGGTCAACAGTCTGAACAAAGAATTAGTTAGAACTGTGACCCCAGCATAAAAGAGATAGTAAGAACTGCAGATGCTGGAGAATCCGAGACAACAAGGTGCAGAGCTGGATGAACGCAGCAGGCCAAGCAGCATCATAGGAGCAGGAAGGCTGA